ATGCACATGATGCTTAAGTCTGCTGAAGCGAGGTAATTACCACACTCCAGCAGACTCAATTAATCAAATCGAGTCTGCTCTGATTCACTGTAATTACAGTGCATTGGAGCAGACTCACTGCATGTGTATAGATGCCTAAATGGTTTCATTTGAGAGAGGATCTGTTTTCCTGAAACCTAGTAGTTGCTGCATTTTTAGATGTTTCAAGGAACAGTAATGAAGATGTGTAAAATTTGCAGTGTAGATGAATGTTAGTTGTGCTTTAAAAGAAACCTTTATTTTTGAACCACTGGCTTCTTTAAAGTAGATGTATTCTTCACTGATGCCTGTCTGATACTACTTAAAAAGCCAAAATCCATTTTCATTTTGCATATGAGAAGACAAATCCAGGTTAAAGACATTTTTAAATAAACACAGGCCAGTTTAACAGTAACTATATTTTCTTAACCACATTTTTATATAATTATATGACAGTGTATACAAATTATTGAAATTATATACATTTTTTCTGTTTTTTGAAAAATTATTTTCCATAGAATTCCAGGTATCCTTAAAGAAAATAAAACTTTTCAGCTAAGGAATTACTAATTCCCGTTTCTTGTTTTGGGGTTTTTGTTGTTCTCCCGCCCTGGCGGGGGGTCGGGCTAGAAGATCTACTAGGTCCCTTCCGACCCTTAATCTATGAATCTATGAATAATTTAAATCCTGAATTCTTGGAATCCTGCTCCAGATGATAAAAATATTTTTGTCTGCATATGTCTATGGGCTTATTGTCACTCATTACATAATTGCATTTATTAAGGATTAGGATTAGTATATGAAATGTAGTTTAACTTTGAATCACATTTTTACCCCCAATTTTTAACCAGAATTTGTGGTTTTGCTTAAAAAATGTATATTAATAGTTTCATTTATTAATAATCCTTTTATTTAAATGCTATAATTCTTCAGTTTCTGAAGTTAAAATACTAAATTTATCTCCCTACATTTTTTCAATGTAGCACCTCCAGTTCCTTCGGAAGAAATGGATAAGCATCGTCGTCGATTTAATATGAGGATGCTAGTGCCAGGAAGACCAGTAAAAGATAGCATTGTACCTCCGCCTGTGCCGGTAGAAAGACCATCTTACAAAGAAAAATTCATTCCTCCAGAACTCAGTATGTGGGACTATTTTATGGCAAAGGTAAAGTGTTTTGTGTGTTAAGCATGATGCTATCAAAAGAATCTCTCATTTTAGCAATATAAATACATATTTGATGTAGAAAGTTTTCCTTTTTTCCCATCTTTTTTAAGTTTTAAAGAAGAAAAATAACATTTGAAGAAGTTTTCTTTCATCAAAGTTTCTTACAGTGTCCTTTAATGAATATATATGCAGGTTGCTGTCTTGACAGAAAGCTGAAAAGGCTACAAATGCACCATATAACTTCCAAAACATCTATCTTCATTCCTATCCTATCCTATTCCTATCTCACTTAAAAATAGTGGAGATGCCATTTTATTTTCTTTCTAATGCATCTTTTTCTATGGAACTGTTTTATCAGATTAACATATCAAGCTGCTTAACCACTAAGGGCAGGTGTGCCT